GTCCGGACTGTGTTAAGTTTAGTTTCGTTGTCCGGACTAAGTAAAGTTAAACCTCGTTGTCCGGTCTATGTAAAGTTTAACTTCGTTGTTCGGATTGTGTTAAGTTTAACTTCGTTGTTCGGACTGTGTAAAGTTAAACCTCGTTGTTCAGATTGTGTTAAGTTTAACCTCGTTGTTCAGATTGTGTAAAGTTAAGCCTCGTTGTCCGGACTGTGTAAAGTTAAACCTCGTTATCCGGACTGTGTAAAGTTAAGCCTCGTTGTCCGGATTGTGTAAAGTGAAACCTCGTTGCCCGGACTGTGTGAAGTTAAACCTCGTTATCCGGACTGTGTTAAGTCAAACCTCGTTTTCCGGATTGTGTAAAGTTTAACCTCGTTGTCAGGACTGTGTAAAGTTTAACTTCGTTGTTCAGATTGTGTAAAGTTAAGCCTCGTTGTCCGGACTTTGTAAAGTTAAGCCTCGTTTTCCGGACTGTGTTAAGTTAAACCTCGTTGTCCGGACTGTGTAAAGTTAAGCCTCGTTGTCCGGACTGTGTAAAGTTAAACCTCGTTGTCCGGACTGTGTAAAGTTTAACCTCGTTGTTCAGATTGTGTAAAGTTAAGCCTCGTTGTCCGGACTATGTTAAGTTAAGCCTCGTTTTAACCTCGTTGTTCAGATTGTGTTAAGTTTAACTTCGTTGTCCAGATTGTGTTAAGTTTAACTTCGTTGCCCGGACTGTGTAAAGTTAAACCTCGTTGTCCGGACTGTGTAAAGTTTAACTTCGTTGTCCGGACTGTGGAAAGTTAAGCCTCGTTGTCGGACTATGTAAAGTTAAGCCTCGTTGTCCGGACTATGTTAAGTTAAGCCTCGTTGTCCGGACTATGTAAAGATAAGCCTCGTTGTCCGGACTGTGTTAAGTTTAACTTCGTTGTCCGGTCTGTGTAAAGTTAAACCTCGTTGTCCGGACTGTGTTAAGTTTAACTTCGTTGTCCGGACTGTGTAAAGTTAAATCTCGTTGTCCGGACTGTGTAAAGTATAATTTCGTTGTCCGGACTGTGTAAAGTTAAACCTCGTTGTCCGGACTGTGTAAAGTTAAGCCTCGTTGTCCGGACTATGTTAAGTTAAGCCTCGTTGTCCGGACTGTGTTAAGTTTAACTTCGTTGTCCGGACTGTGTAAAGTTAAGCCTCGTTGTCCGGACTGTGTAAAGTTTAACCTCGTTGTTCAGATTGTGTTAAGTTTAACTTCGTTGTCCAGATAGTGTTAAGTTAAACCTCGTTGCCCGGACTGTGTAAAGCTTAACCTCGTTGTTCAGATTGTGTTAAGTTTAACTTCGTTGTCCGGACTGTGTAAAGTTAAACATCGTTGTTCGGATTGTGTTAAGTTAAGCCTCGTTGTCCGGACTGTGTGAAGTTTAACCTCGTTATCCGGAGTGTGTTAAGTTTAACCTTGTTATCCGGACTGTGTTAAGTTTAACCTCGTTATCCGGACTGTGTAAAGTTAAACTTCGTTAATCCGGACTATGTACAGTTTAACCCCTTTGACCCCAACACATGTATAGTGCTACCTTTTCAGCTTGTTGATCCAGACTGCGTTACATGAAGTTTGTTTATCCGGATTACGAGAATCCGGTTTGTAGAGTGTAATATCATGCTTACGTGGTTCGGAAACTAATGAAATTCATTGGAAACATACTTTTGCATAAATGTTGAAAAACTTTTCAAATTTAAATCGACTGTATAGACGTTTTAATCTAGCTCGCTTCATGAAATGATGATAAAACTATTATTTGCATTTGGTTTAGATGACTACGTTAATGTTGGGGAAAAACAATTCTATATCACAGCTTGATACGGAGATATAAGAATGTGATGTAAACGACACATTTTTGATTATTTAAAAAATCGTTCTAGCATTGGGATTTTTCTTTTTACGTAACGAAAAACAGTTGATGATTTGTAAATGATTTGGATGTTGATTTTGGCGTCGCCAGTATGACTATCTTATTGATACATGTACGTGTATGCACCATAAATCTGAAAACACAGAGGATGGGATTGTTTTGTAATTTTCATTCCAATTTCAGACAAAAGATCTTGTATAATTGAATTCACTAAAAACCGTGGGGGGTTTGCGGACTGTTTATTCCGGTTTTTTATCTATGTTAATAGAACGCAATATGAACTTACGAAACTGGGAATATTGATTCTCAAATAACTCTAAACGTTAAAACACCTTGCCAAAATATGGATTGTGCTAGACGACCCCTAGCCTGAAGGTCGTGGGTCCCTTTGAGTGTGTTAATAAGACACTGTGTATCGTGGTCTACTTGGACCGCTGCCTTACACGAAGCTGCTGTGCTATAATGACATATTTCACGATTAATGAGGCTTTCTTTCTCTTCTATCTATGTACCTTGTAGAAACACTGCTGTATTTCCCTCACCTTATGTTACAAACCCTGTCAGCGGATTGTTAGGACCAACTCATGACTTATAAACCGCCATCGAAGTTTCAGAATTGATTTCATTTTGGTACAGTATATTATTATTTGATTCGATAGTGGTTGCATGAATATGTCATAAGTTGCAGAATAAAGTAGCGCCAGACAATTGACGTTGTTCAAATCTAATGAAACATACATGTCTTGAGCATCGTTTACATATTTTGCAGATACCGATACCCTATCTTTAAAATTGCAGCACATTTCCACGCGGGGTGTCATCCTTATAAAACCTCTTAAAGGTTAAATAAGAGCCACGTCGTGCCAGTCACTGCGAGTGTGTTAACGCAACAAACATTATACTCCATAAATAGCAACAATACATACACGGACATTTGCCCATGTTGGTGTACATTTAGATAAGCCTTTCACAACTTTATAGATGTGTCATGTTCCATACCCTTAAACCAATCAAACACTGCTTTCTGCCAACGGGACAGTGACAAGTCCTGTCCCCCGTGATCTATATATTTCTATCCCTTTTCTCTCCTTCCTACCTTTTCGGCCGTGCCTCTGAAGGCACTCGTCATCGTATGACTTTAGATATTTCCCGGATGTTAAAATCCAAATCAAATAAAACCATTAAACATAGTCTGCGGGTTTTCTATCCGCTTTCGTTTGGTTTTTATCACCTCTGGCCTGAGATCTGTTAATATCGGGGACGGTTTGGCACCAAACTCATAAATTAGATTCGCAATTCGCTCCTCAAGGCGAAGGAACGCACTGCTACACGTATATATAATAAAGTAGAACACAAAACACAACCGTCGGTAGATAATAGTGACTTGATTAATTATGAATGACATTAAAAAATAAAAGAATTGAAGAAATGATCCTTGATTTTATAAAAAAAAAACATAAGGTTATCAGATTTCAAAACAATTAATTCATTGCAGTGATTAATTGATTTAAAACTCAATCGTGTACAAATATAAGAGAGAATGGTATTTTAAATCGATATGTACATACGTTGATTCTAGCGTACTTCACAATTAGGCTGAATGCACCAAGGGGGAAAAGATCACAAAAAGTCCTATTCGGCGCCTGTTTGGTTTTAATCACACAGATATGTCTTATCTAATGTACCGTCTGTATAACGATTTAAACGCACACTGATTTACTTTGAAGACTATGCAGGTGAATAGTTATGTGCACTGCCTGTCTGGCCTTACTTTGAACCAGCGGGTGTGATCAGTTAGCAGACAGCACGCGTTGCGAGGCCACCAACATAAGCCCTCGACTTTAGTACGATGACTTCACCTTATGTGGGATATGTCTACAGGTATACCGAATTTAGACAAAAACACCAACACAATTGCGCAACTAGAATAATGTTGGGTTCACGCAATGCTCGTTTGAAGTTGGTTCAAACAATCCGTGTAGTGATTCGGAAAACCGTGCACTCGGAGAAAAAATCTTGATATTTTCAATTTTGCTGCCAAGTATTTTGAATGTTATCAAACCTTGGCTGTCTATTGGCAAATCTGACTCGTAGTATTAATTAAACACGTGCTATGGACCAGGCTGGGCTTAAATTAACGTCAATAAGGAAAATAAATGTATGTCTTAATTTTGCCTAGTCATAAAAATATACATCAGAAACAACAGAGCTGTCTCAAACTAGCAAGTTATCACGTAAATTTTCTATGTCAGGGTTTAATTCAAAGTGTGCTTTCATTTCAAAGACCAGTGTTATTTCCGTAATGATGATTTCAGGGTTATTGTGAAAGTGTTCTGTTTCGATCTAGCCATGGATGTACTATTTGCTGGCACATGCGTGAAAAAAACCCGGTATGAGCAACATCCGGTTAGGACCACTTCCTGTTCGTATCGATGCAGTCATTTTAGTTTCTTTTGGTCACCCAGTTCTGTCTGATTATGTTGTTAAGGTAATTGATTTTAAAATGTTTGGTAAGATATTAAAAGTACAGTCCTGTCTGTATTCCATTACAGCTTCTTGAAGTCCAATAATAATTTTTTTCCAGTATATTTTTAAAGGAAATTATTGATCAATTTTATTGATAAACGAATTAAACATATTGCGTAAAACATCAGGAATGTCACATTTTAAAATTTTATTCGTCAAAACTGCTTTTCTAAAATCATAAGAATTAGACACAGGCATCCATTTAAGCGTTTTTTAAGTGTACACGTAGGGATTATGGTATTTTTAACATTTCAGCAGCTCTTTTATGATAAATCAATACTAACTTTATTACCTGGATTATACTCAACACCGCAAACAGTAGAAAAAATGGGGAATAAGTACTGTTGTATACCTTGAGGTCATAAGACATGAATGGTCCAAGTCTACGAAAAGTCTAAGAAGAACACGATTTATTTCTCGTCGATATATTGTCTATAAAAAAGCTTTTGTTTGGCGAAACTCAAAGTTTCAATAGCGCAATCAGTAATCTTGATTAAAAGATCTATACATTAATCGAGTTTTTGAACAGATCCTACCACCTTACATTTGAGTCTGTTGTCAGATTCAGGCTACATTTGTTGGTCTTTTGTCAATTTAACAGTGCACTCTACATCTTGTTTCTTCTTCTAACACTTCATCAGTCACACAGCTCACATCCAGGGAAGTACATTTAGCATCAGTCTCACAGTTCACATCCAGGGATGTAGCATCAGTCTCACAGCTCACATCCAGGGATGCAGCATCAGTCTCAAAGCTCACATCCAGGGATGAAGCATCAGTCTCACAGCTTACATCCAGGGAAGTACATTTAGCGTCAGTCTCACAGTTCATATCCAGGGATGTAGCACCAGTCTCACAGCTCACGTTCAGGGATGTAGCATCAGTCTTACAGCTCACATCCAGGGAAGTACATGTAGCATCAGTCTCACAGCTCACTTTCAGGGATGTAGCATCAGTCTCACAGCTCACATCCAGGGATGCAGCATCAGTCTCACAGCTCACATCCAGGGATGCAACATCAGTCTCACAGCTCACATCCAGGGAAGTCGCATCAGTCTCACAGCTCACATCCAGGGAAGGAGCATCAGTCTCACAGCTCACATCCAGGGAAGAAGCATCAGTCTCACAGCTTACATCCAGGGAAGTACGTGTAACATCAGTCTCACAGCTCATATCCAGGGATGTAGCATCAGTCTCACAGCTCACATCCAGGGAGGTAGCATCAGTCTCACAGCTCACATCCAGGGATGCAGCATCAGTCTCACAGCTCACATCCAGGGATGCAACATCAGTCTCACAGCTCACATCCAGGGAAGTCGCATCAGTCTCACAGCTCACATCCAGGGAAGGAGCATCAGTCTCACAGCTCACATCCAGGGAAGCAGCATCAGTCTCACAGCTCACATCCAGGGAAGAACATGTAGCATCAGTCTCACAGCTCACATCCAGGGAAGCAGCATCAGTCTCACAGCTCACATCCAGGGATGCAACATCAGTCTCACAGCTCACATCCAGGGAAGTAGCATCGGTCTCACAGCTCACATCCAGGGATTTAGCATCAGTCTCACAGCTCACATCCAGGCAAGTAGCATCAGACTCACAGCTCACATCCAGGGAAGAACATGTAGCATCAGTCTCACAGCTCACGTCCAGGGAAGTAGCATCAGTCTCACAGCTCACGTCCAGGGAAGTAGCATCAGTCTCACAGCTCACATCCAGGGATGCAACATCAGTCTCACAGCTCACATCCAGGGAAGTAGAATCAGTCTCACAGCTCACATCCAGGGAAGTAGAATCAGTCTCACAGCTCACATCCAGGGAAGTAGCAGCAGTCTCACAGCTCACATCCAGGGAAGTAGCAGCAGTCTCACAGCTCACATCCAGGGAAGTAGCATCAGTCTCACAGCTTACATCCAGGGAAGTACATGTAACATCAGTCTCACAGCTCATATCCAGGGATGTAGCATCAGTCTCACAGCTCACATCCAGGGAAGTAGCATCAGTCTCACAGCTCACATCCAGGTAAGTAGCATCAGTCTCACAGCTCACATCGAGGGAAGTAGCATCAGTCTCACAGCTTACACCCAGGGAAGTAGCATCAGTCTCACAGCTCACATCCAGGGAAGTAGCATCATTCTCACAGCTCACATCCAGGGAAGTACATTTAGCATCAGTCTCACAGCTCATATCCAGGGATGTAGCATCAGTCTCACAGCTCACATCCAGGGATGTAGCATCAGTCTCACAACTCACATCAAGTGAAGTACATGTAGCATCAGTCTCACAGCTCACATCCAGGGATGTAGCATCTGTCTCACAGCTCACATCCATGGATGTAGCATCAGTCTCACAGCTCACATCCAGGGAAGTAGCTTCAGTCTCACAGCTCATATCCAGGGAAGTAGCATCAGTCTCACAGCTCACATCCAGGGAAGTAGCATCAGTCTCACAGCTCACATCCAGGGAAGTAGCATCAGTCTCACAGCTCACATCCAGGGATGAAGCATCAGTCTCACAGCTCACATCCTGTGAAGTAGCATCAGCATACATGATGGCTGATGAGTACTTGAGACATTTTGGATAATCATTTATATTCAAGATCGTCCTAAGAGGTTTGCTTTTGCTTTGGTTTAATTTGGTTTAAAGTCCCATCAACAGCCAATGTCATTTAAGGACGTGCCCCCATGCTGGTTATGTATGCTCGCATGCGTGTATGTGAGCTGGAGGTAGGGTATGTTGGTACATGTGCCTCCTTACGATCGATAGAGCAGAATTAGTGCTACATGTATTTCACTGAAACTGAAAAATAAGAGGACACCAAAATTAGTTGGCTAAAAATCTGCCAAGACATTTCCGAAACGTGAAGCCTGCGACCTCTCAGAGAGGTAAAAGAAAAAAAAAACGATTGCAAAACTGCAGGATAGGGACACACCATATACATTAAGCTTGTGCAATGGTACAGTGTACTGTACCGTTATATGATAAATAAAAAGGACACCCGTAAGTTATTCCTGGTCCATATTTAAAGGCTTTTGTCAGCAACTCTCAGAAAATGCTGTTTAATTAGAATGATGTGGTTTAAACCAAACCGGCAGACACAGATTGGTACAATTGTCGACTGAAGTAGGTTTAATCCACTGCACATTGAATTGTTATACACGTTACCGAACAAACAAGTAGCATCAGGCCTTTTGTTTCGTAAATCCCTAGACAAAAATGAATTGTCGTATGAAAATGAAATAAGATATTGCTTGGAGTGCCCAAACGGGAATTAAGTGGGCTAGCGCACATTTTGTATAAACGTACCCGCTCAGCATTAAGTGTTCAAGCGTTATTGTGACCTAGATCGGAACATCCATTAGTCCATTCGTGGAAGCGCTTATAATTATCCTCCACTTGTTTTTGCGGCCGTGCGTTGTTATAGTTCGTTACCCGTTTTCGCTCCTATGTACTTGTCCCTCAAGGGAGTGAAAATATTCAAAACAGGCAAAAATAATATAATTTTCTTCATCAAAATGGAAATGCCTACAATGATTTCACTTGGTAATGAGCAGAGTTAGCGAAGTCGATATCAACGCGGACATGTTGGGAGAAATTGGTAGACGCCCCAGAGGGTGAAGAAACTGACAAATTACGTAGAGTATTTGTGGAATAAGTATGTATTTATGTCCACACATACTTCCCTATGTTGCTAATTATCAGTCCAAGGACGTGTTTCCCACCCTGTCATTATCTATTGATATAAACCCAAGCTGAATTATTTATAACGCATTTAGACATATAGAAAATGAACTGCCAATAATATGACTCAGGCATGGCCTGGAGAGAGCGCAGCTCGTACATTTTTTTCGATAGTACACTATAATTTTTGAATCATAACATTACCCATTTTAATACAAACAAAATGTACCTGTAATTGTTTTATTTTATAATATACTTGAATCTGTTGCTGGGCAAAATCATTCATTTTGAAAACAGGCATTGCCTGAAACGAGAGAAGCGTCTAAATGCTGTTTTTTTCAATTTTATTTTCTAAATAACATTGTTTAAAATAGTGTCTATTTATTCCTTTTATAGCGATAAATGTAAAATTAATAATAAGTAAAGAAAAGCATTCGACTGAATTATGCAGTTCAAGAGAAAACACAATTGCCTTTAGTACTGTTGCATTTAATTGCCCGTCTATGGCCTCAGCGTAATGTTGCGGTAAGAGTGAGGCCCAGTAGAGGGACTTCATTTTTGAAGATGTATTGTTTATCAAATGTAACTGTTATTATCTGTTATTATAAAAGTTAAGTATATTGGTGATTAAATTCCAATTTTATTTTCCGACATGATATACTTTGCCTGATCCCTCTAAATCGTGTAAAAAGAGAATCACAATAGCCCAAACATATCCGGATTTCCGTCTGGTTTGGTAGTTACTATATACTTCCGGTTTGGGTGGAGAGAAGAAAAGACTGAAAATTTGAAAGAAGCTTCAGTTTCTATAATTTTTAATGTTATGAATTTACATGACCACAGAAAAAAATATCAAGTAAAGAGATATTTTTGAGAATGTGTAGCAAAGCTAAACAGCATCGATAAAATAGGACCGCGGTAACTCTATTTTGGAAGCATAGTATTTCGACGTTACCATGACTTCAATTGTTCGTACACATGTTACCGGAAAAGAACTTAATAGCCATTCACTGAAGATCAGTTAAGATTTAAAGTGATTTTTTGGGAGGAGTTGGCCACGTAACAATACGTAATGTTTATTTGTAGAATAAAACGTAATTAAACATTTTTCATATATCATGTCTTTTGAAAACCAATTAAAACAACGTGTGGTTGATTTAGAAATGAATAAAATGAAAGATATATGTAAACCTAGTCACGTTGGAACTTCACCTGATGTGGCCTATTTGCCCATGAAATTGAGTAGGTTTTCGTTGACAACGTTAGCATAACAACAATGGAAACCGACATAAATCCCTTATTTCCGCTGACATTGCTGAGCTGCGCGAGAAGGATAGTCCAGTCAACGTAGATAGTATATGCCAGAAGGTCTTGCTTATTCCGCATATTCCTTGTAATTGTTTTAAATATTTTTTGTCGCTTAGGAATAAAGAATTTTAAGCGTATTACATGTACATATAACAGGCAAAAGTAATCTACACAGTCTAGTTAGGGGATTCAAAATGAAAATTCTACGTAGATCCCTACAACCGAGGTATATAGTGCACTGGCCTAGAAACACAGAGGTGGAATCCTGGGGTGCTCATGTTGGTAGGATCGATAAAAAGGTATTCTACGTAGATCCCTACAACCGAGGTACATAGTCCACTGGCCTAGAAACACAGAGGTGGAATGCTGGGGTGCTCATGTTGGTAGGATCGATAAAAAGGTATTCTACATAGATCCCTACAACCGAGGTACATAGTCCACTGGCCTAGAAACATGTTGGTAGGATTGATAAAAATGTTCTCTCTTTTTCTTACAAAATGTAGGATTAAGTATTTTTACCTGTTGAAATTGTTGTGTCTGTAGAAATATGAATCAAAATTAAAGTATTGAAGAACTTTCAATAGTATACACAAATACAATACACAATAGTCATCGGTTATATTAGAGGCATAGTGGCATAGTTTTATCTTAATTTCGGTATAGTTATCTGAGTTTGTACCTTACAAGTGGACTACACCATCCCATTTTGATAACAGTTGCACGATCAAGAAATGCAATCTTCTACTAATGGCCCCATTGTGATAAGTATAACACGAACATAGAATAGGCAATCAACATGCTTTACAATATTTATCCTTCGCCGTATTGATGTAAAAATGCCACTATTTGGACAAGGGTTAATTTATTTTCTTATTTAATGCATCAAGGGAAGGGTGAATGTAGTTTAACAAACACGATTTCCATGAATAAATCAAGTATTCGCTAGGAAAACGCGAACGGTAGACCCAAGGTACCACTGTCAGGGGGAGGTTTATTTTGTTTCACGTCCTATTAAAAGCTAAGGTCATTTAAAGACTACATGACATATCTAAAAACGGTCAACTCATCAGTCCAATGGTGACATGAGCGGGCTTGTCTTTACTCGTTGTAAGTATATAGTTCTACTTTATAATCGCCTAGAAGGTGCGGTATCGAAGTATATAGTACTACTCTATAATCGCCTAGAAGGTGCGGTATCTAAGTATATAGTACTGTGCGGTATCTAAGTATATAGCACTCCTCTATAATCGTCTAGAAGGTGCGGTATTTAAGTATATAGTACTACTCCATGATCGCCTAGAAGGTGCGGTATCTAAGGATATAGTACTACTCTATAATTGCCTAGAAGGTGCGGTATCGATGTATATAGTACTACTCTATAATTGCCTAGAAGGTGCGGTATCGATGTATATAGTACTACTCTATAATTGCCTAGAAGGTGCGGTATCGATGTATATAGTACTACTCTATGATCGCCTAGAAGGCGCGGTATCTAAGTATATAGTACTACTCCATGATCGCCTAGAAGGTGCAGTATCTAAGTATATAGTACTACACTATAATCGCCTAGAAGGTGCTGTATCTAAGTATATAGTACTTCTCTATGATCGCCTAGAAGGTGCGGTATCGATGTATATAGTACTACTCTATAATTGCCTAGAAGGTGCGGTATCGATGTATATAGTACTACTCTATGATCGCCTATAAGGTGCAGTATCTAAGTATATAGTACTGTGCGGTATCTAAGTATATAGTACTTCTCTATGATCGCCTAGAAGGCGCGGTATCTAAGTATATAGTTCTAATCTATAATCGCCTAGAAGGTGTAGTATCTAAGTATATAGCACTCCTCTATAATCGTCTAGAAGGTGCGGCATCTAAGTATATAGTACTACACTATAATCGCCTAGAAGGTGCGGTATCGCAGTATATAGTACTACTCTATAATTGCCTAGAAGGTGCGGTATCGATGTATATAGTACTACTCTATGATCGCCTATAAGGTGCAGTATCTAAGTATATATTCCTACACTTTAATCGTCTAGAAGATGCGGTATCTAGGTATTTAAGTATATAGCACTACTCTATAAACGTCTAGAAGGTGCGGTATGTAAGTATATAGCACTACTCTATAATCGTATGGAAGGTGCGGTATCTAAGTATAGAGTACTAATCTAGAATCGCCTAGAAGGTGCGGTATCGATGTATATAGTACTACTCTATGATCGCCTATAAGGTGCAGTATCTAAGTATATAGCACTACTCTATAAACGTCTAGAAGGTGCGGTATTTAAGTATATAGTACTACTCCATGATCGCCTAGAAGGTGCGGTATCGCAGTATATAGTACTACTCTATGATCGTCTAGAAGGTGCGGTATCTAAGTATATAGTACTACTCTATAATCTCCTAGAAGGTGCGGTATTTAAGTATATAGCACTACTCTATAATCGCCTAGAAGGTCCGGTATCTAAGTATATAGCACTACTCTATAATCGCCTAGAAGGTGCGGTATCTAAGTATATAGTACTACTCTATAATCGCCTAGAAGGTGCGGTATC